ATTCCCAAGCGGCGTCTTTATTTGTTAATCGGATGAGAGAGCGGGTGATGTCCGCAAAACTTTTTATGAACCGGCAGTACCATGAGTAGATTTGTAGGAATCCCTACAGCTGCTTTAGGTTTCGGGGCGACGACCGAGACCTTACTGGAATTTTTGTGGATACCTTGCGATGTAAAGATATGCCCCAAGTATCGTATCTCTGGACAACTCATACACAGGTGAAATATTCATATTCGCGCGAAAACATTCCTCAGGTGCCGTGAGAAGGTTGGAGATAGTAAAATGAGCCAACAGTTGGATGTCTTGTAATCGAGTAAAGCCCAAAAGAGTCACAAATGTGGTTTTCGACTGGTCTTTTTCGGCAACGGCGATCTGCCAATACCCTGCCTTAAGGTCCATCGACGACATATGAGGAATCCGGATGGTCTATTGCAGCAGATCACCTATGCGCAGCAGCGGAAATGTGCCCGTCTCAGTTATTTGATCTAACCCACAGTAGTCGATACATATACGGGTGCTGTTGGATTTGGGCACCATTACCACCGGGGCAGCCCATAGGGAAAAGTCCACGTGTGCGAGAAAACAAACGGAAGACTGGTCGTTGTCTAATTCTTCCATTCCATTGTCCCTGGGACATTTCGAGCACTATGCATCCGTCGGTAACAAAGTTGACGCCTATCAAAGTTTGCTTTCTCGCTCCTGGGAGGATTACAACCTTGACACTCGGCATTTTTCGAGCGTTCCCGAGTGTTGGATTCAAGGAGTCTTGCGCGTTTCAGCAAGTCGTCGAAGGTGATAACGCTATCCCTAGGAATGCGGTCCCTGACGCGGAAATGCAGGAGTCCATACAGTATGTCCAGTTGAACAGCTTCTGGATGAGTAAAGGTTAATTCAGTGAACAATGCTCGTATTTGGCAGAAAAAATATCTGTTGGGACGGCCTTGTCCTGGAAGATTTGGTATATTTCTTGATAAACCTGGAACGCTGGTTTCTTAGGCGCGAAGGTTTCCTCAATGAGATTGGTTGCTTCCTCCCACGTAGTTGCTTGCGTTTTGATTCCTTGTTACAGTGTCGCGGCAAGTCTCGTTAGGAGTAGCGGTATCTTGATTACTAATTTTCATACATTTTTTGAAAATCGTGCTTACGTTAACGAACTCTTTCATCGCTTGAGGATCTCCTGTTCCAGAAGAACAAGCTGCGCACTGTGCAAAACTTGCCTTGTGTTGCTACATCGTTTGGCTAAATGTGTGCCAGCAGTCGGACAAACTGTTTTTCAGTTAGAGTTTCCATCGTCCGATTTAGTCGAGAGCTCCTTTTTCGCATAGCCGTTGTTCTGTTTTCGAAAGGTACGCGCACTTCGCCGAGCCACACGTTGTTGGGCGCCAATTTGTAAGGGTGAATAAAGATGTACTAATTTTTCCCTTAACAAAACAAACTTTATTTCAAAAAAACACTTTTTATATAAAAGATCAAAAAGGTCAATATATATTTCGAAGGTATATTTTTGAAATGGCCGCGTAAGTTTAATTGATGATAACTAAAAATTAATCTATGTAGAAATTCATTAACCGGTTTTTCAGAAATTGGTACTGAACAAATAGGGTCTTCGGCCGCAGTATGCGTTTCTCTTCCATCCTCTTCCAAGATTTCGTCTAAATCGGTCGGGTCTAAAACATCTTCGATATCGACATTGGGTAAGATTGAAAGTATATATCGGTATCATCTGTCGCGATTTCCCGCATGTTAATTTCCACTCTAGACAAAGCATCAACGTTAAAATTCTCTCTTACCTTTTTTGTACTTGACCTCATAGTCGAATTCTTCTAGCTTTAATTTCTACTTAACAAGACGTGAATTGGGATCTTTAAATTTAAAAAGCCAACATATAGGTTCGTGATTGGTTTCAATTATATATTTTTTCCATGAATATAGGGCCGAAAATGTTTTGTCGCTTCTATTATTGCCAAAAGTTCTCGCTCAATAGTCAAGTAGTTGCGCACAAACAATTATTTCATTAGTTAACTACAAGAAGCTTAAAGTTAAACCAAGCGACTTCTCTAAGCTAGAAACTAATAAGAAGTGACAATTTTATTATTACATATCGGAAAGATGCAACACCAATCCTAAAAAGGCATTATCAGTAAAATACGTTTTCGTGGTAACATCTCACGCTTGTCGGTTGTACATAGGTTCAGGAACATAACCGAATGGTATATTTTTTAAGACGAATTCTTCGAAACGTAAATTTTAAGGTAACTTTGATGATCAACTATGAATAGTTTCTGAAATAATTTACTTCATAGAAAAAATAACCGCTACCGCAATCCAAATTATAAAACATCATGACATCCACAAAAAATGACTTACTTATATAATACAAATAAGAGTTAATAAGTGCCGAAGTGGAAGTTATTATGGTTTGTCTTCTTTAAAGATCTACCACACAGAACTATGGTGTCATAGTCATAACCCCTGAACACAAAATTAAGGCTAAAAGTTACGTTATGTCTTGCGTTATCAGTAAAACGGGAAAAAAAAGTTATAGATAATAAATGCTATGAATGTAGGAGGGAGCTGTAAGTACGCTGTAGCGTTGTTAATGTGGTGACACTGGAGATGTGAGGAGCTCTTTCCAACGGAAATTACAAACTATTGGAAACGCTCCGTTTTGGCAAGTGCTCCGATTAAAAAAAGATTTTTAATTACTTGGTATAAAGGATTTTGTTACTTTAAATTATAGTACTCTTTCAGACGACTACATTGAGTTGGCAGGTACCTACGTTCTAAAAATCAGCGACATCAATTCGAGTAGTGATGTGCTATCAGGTTTTGTTTCAGACTTAGGCGCAGTACACAGGAAACTTTTGCAAAACTTTGACAGTATTTTGTCAAAACTCCAGAATTTCGATGACTTAAGGCATTTTCAAAAGGAAGAGAGTCTATGGAAGATGAGTCATGCCTTTAACTTTAAGAACCGATAAAAAACTTTTTCATTCAGATCGTCGGTTAACTGTCAGAATGATAGGGGAACAGTTGATTTTGGGTCACACCCCCGTTCGTTAAATTTTAAGCAATGGATTGAGGATGAGAAAAATCTACTTAAAAGTAGTTCCAAAAATGATCCCCATTTTTTGGAACGTGTGATTATGGGTGACAAGATTTGGGTATTTGAGTACGATCTGGAAACTGAACGCCAGAGTGGCACACACCAAAGCCCAAAAAAGCAAGAATGAACAAGTCGTACATCAAGATCGTGCTGATTTGCTTCATGGGTAGTCAGGGCATTATCCACAAAGGGTTTGTGCCTCAAGGCTATGGAATCAAACAACACTTTTACCGAGAGGTTGTTGAAAGACCTCGCAAATGGGTCATGCGTGTGTAACGAAACATAAAAGACAACTGAATGTTGCATCACAATAATATGCCTTGTCACGCAACATTTTCAATAAACGAATTTTTGGCCAGTAAAAGTATTTATCTTGCTCCTCAGTTTCCTTATTCGCTGGAGTCAAATGACTGTAACATTTAAAGAGTTCTAATCAACCAGCTGAAGAAAATTCCTGTATCCATTTTAGCATTGCTGTGAAGAATGGCAGAAACAGTGCAGGCTAACACATGAAGATCGGTTTTCAATCTATTTGGAAGTCTGGAGTTAGATAAGAATGCTACTATAGTCTATTTGCGAGGACAATAGTTGAAATAAGATGAGTCTATCTTTAAAATTGATTTATTAGGATAAAAACTATTTACATTGATTGGATTTGTATTTGATCCAGTTTTAGTCAATCGACAGCAACGATGTACTAATTCTGACTTGCTTGCATGCATGTGTATGCACCGTATGTCTACAAATTATATATTATACGAATGTATCCATAGTGTAGTGGAAAACTTTTTCAATTTCCGAAGCATCAATTGAACAAAGAATTACTAATACACATATTGTAGTTTGAGATGAGATATATATATATATATAGGTCAACATTCGGACATACAAACGTTGCTGTTTGATTCAGCGTATTTCTGAAATAAGTGGCAAGCTTTGGAGCAATAAAGAATCGCATGGTGAGTAAAGCGGCATGGATAAAAGATAAAAAAATAAAATCATCTTGAAGCCGACTAGGAGAAAAATACTCTTTGCAATAAATTATATAATTTATAAAACTGAAATGGTGATGGAAGTATCCTCAATGTTACTTTTGTTGTCATTCCTACACTTTGGCACACAATGTTGTACTTATAAATTTATGAAAATAAAATGATGAAAGACTAAGAAATGCTCTCGATTGATTAAAAATGCGTTAAAATGTCACGTTTTACAAAAAGAAAAAATACCGAGATTATTTTTTGCACATCATAAGCTACAACATTTGTCTTCTATCAACTTTCTTTCATCAAATGTTTAGAATCACAATTAAGTATCATTCATTACTTCAAAAGATATTCATCGCCAAAACGTGAAACGCAGATTTCATAATGTTTTATTGTAAGATCAGTTATTTTCATTATTGGTTGATTAAATAGCGCTTTCTGTCAATTAGTCAATTTGTCAATTTCAGTAGTTTTACGCAAGCCCTGCGGAATAGTACACTATATTTACCAATTACGCCGCGACTCGAACTCTAAAATAAAGAGCATGGCGGATTCTTTAACTCAGGCGGTCATTTGAAGATTGAAAATTTTTTCCTTTTTTAAAAGTTAGTTGTGATAATTTACGTATTTAGTTATTATTATTATTCTCCTTAATTACGTATGCTTGAAAGATTTAGAATGACTTCTTTAGATTTCTGTCTCATTTTTTTAAAAATTCAGCAAGACGATCGATTTGTTATGACAAAATCCTGAGATACATTATAGTTGATTTGTGTCAAATGTCATGTTATACCTATAGGCATTCATCGATTGATATTTTATCACAACTCATCATGGTGTATCAATAACTAGTAATACAAAAACAATTTCATTAATTTTTAATTGTGCACTAGCTACTTCGGTTCCAGCTTCTCTTCAGTCCGATTTAGCAATCAGTGGTGCAGAAAAAGGCTCCTTAGAAGAACAACTAGCCACATTACAATTAACCAATGAACGTAATGAAAGACAATTTAAACAAGAGATTAACCGAATGCAGGCTGAAGTGCAGTCCTTAAGACAAAGGCTAGACAGAGCCGACGCAGACCTCATCCACAGTCGAAGAGAAAACCTGAGACTAAATGAACAGATTGCTTCCCTTGAAAAAGAGGTAAACAGAAACGAAGTTCAATGTGGTCGCGCTTGCGTGCGTGTATGTGATGTGTGTGTGTGTGTGTAGGTGTGTGTGTGTGTGTCTCGTGTGTGTATGTGTGAGTAGTGTGTGCGTGCGCGCGCGTGTGTGTGTGCGCGCGCGCGTGTGTGTGTGTGTGTGTGTGTGATATGGTGTAGTTGATTGTTATGATAGTTTGTGCAAGTGTTTCTTTTTTTTTTTACCGTCGCGTCTTATCCCCAAAACAAGTGGCACCCTTGCGTACCTCTGTCACTGCTCGTCATCAACTACGTCATTATTTTTAGGAATTCTTGGGTTGGTTTTACTTTTAGACTACTTAACTTATTAATATAATTCAAACTTGCAGTGGTACAATAAATAATTGTAAAGCATGCTTAATAAAACAATACCAATATCAAATAAACACAACAAAACATTTATGAAATTACATATATATGTTATAAAATAGGTGAATCTCAATGCTGCCCTTGCGGATGAAAAACAAAAAGGTGAAATGTTGGCTCTCCCACTACCTATAATAAAATCTGAAGGGAACAATAATGATGTTGCATCAATGATAAAGGAAATGGAAGACAAACACGGTAGGCACTCAAACATTACTGTAAAGATAACAAGAACTAACAGTACTTCGCATCCATTATTAGATACAAAAGTAGAATAGCCACTTAACTAGTATTGTAATAAGAACTTTATTAAAAAGCATACCTATTTACATTTGTGAAAAGTTTATCCATGAGTTGCTTTTATTATTGTCATTGTTGCAGCAGTCACAGTGGCAGAGTTGGAAAGCATGATCCACTCGCAGAATCAACTCATGGAAAAACTCACGAACGAGTGTCATGCCCTCACTAAGAAACTCGAGGATAACAGCACTAGACATGTGTAAGAATTTGTTTAGCGGTTTGAAACAAGTTTCATCATTTTAATTAATACTTAGATCACTATTAAAACATCTGGCCATTTAAAAACACATCACAAATTAAATATAAATTTCAATTTTCACTTCTTACCTTTTTCAAAACATTATCATTATAAGAATCAGAGCCATAATAGTTGCAAAGAACACTTTATTGATAGCAACAACTCTAATGTTTCGCATTTTGGTAAACGTCAACTGTAAGTCGCATACACTTATTTAAAAAGTACAGTTACGTATGAATATAAATAAATAAAGTAAATCAAAAACATTCCATTTTAATTAGAATGTGATTGCCCTTCTTAAAGGGAAAATTCAAGTTCAAACTGGCCTAGTTTTGTTCACGCTCCATTTTTTCGGCATTTTTGTGACATCTATTGATAAAATTCAATAGATAATAAAAACAAAAGCTGCATACACATACACTTTCACAAAAAACTATAATTCAATATTCTAAGTTCATCTCGTTTGACAAAATTTAATAGGCAATAATTTTAAGCGAAAAATTCAAATTCAAATAGGATCCACCCCCATTACACAACAATTCCAGAGGATCATCAACAAGAGCTTCTGTTATTGTTGATAAAAGGGTCGTATTCTAACTCTACAACTGAAGAATAACCTAGATACACATTCTAAAGGTCAAAAATTGGTAAGGTCACCGACATGATCCAGTATCCCGCTTACTTCACTACTTATCTACAAAAAGTCAATTAGTTCCACTCTACCTTGAAAATATTTAATACATGAAACACCGGCGTTGGTTGCTATTAATAAAGTGTTGTTTGGTCCCCATTTTGACTTGGATGACAAAAATCAAGTAACTGGCAGTATATTTACATGGTGATTAAAAGACACCACCCTGTACCTTCATCCATTACCTAAAAGCATTTGTAGTGTTGTACAATGTCTTTACCACTCATTTCTTCCTCTGAGTAAATAAATAATCAAAAGCATTCTATTTATATGCAAAATATGAAAAGTACACCTGTCCTGATGTATTAAACAAAATACTAATTTGAACCTAAATTAGGATGCCATTCATGCCCTAGAGATTTTCTGAATAATAACATACTCAATGTTATGCATATTTGCAACCCTTGATGTTATCTGCACGGATGTATATATAATATACTTATTGTATCCTTGTGTTTGGTAGGTGGAAATGCAGAAAGCAAAAACGAGTCCGATTTTTACTCAGCCCAGCCAGCCAAACGCAAGGAAGCAATTAAGTTAGACATTAAAATACACATTGTCCCTAAGCCAAAAAAGGTCAGTTGAAACAAAATTTATAAAACATTTCAAATTGTAAGAAACGTAAATATTTAAATTGCTACTATAGCTGACCATACCGTAAGTTGTTTTAGGCTGGAAAAGAAAAAATTAAAAATCGAAATCGGTCAAGTTGCATATAAACTCGAAGCGCTGTGGACCTCTTTAAAGAAGCTTTGCGACGATAATACTCCCATTCAGGTAAATATTCTAGCAGTCTTCTAATTGCACTATTTGTTATAGGAAAGAAATACGCCAGCTTCAGACTAGCCTAGATTTTTTAACCAGAAGTCTTTGCCAAAATGAATTCAAAAAAGGTACATTGTAGATTAAAAATAATCCAAACTTTTAAATTAGCCTTAGATACTTAGGATTAACGTTTCACATTATATGCATTGTATCTGCCTTGCAATTTCATTAAAAAAGTTTTTCGCTAATACTTACGTTCTTGTAACATACTTTTTAAACTTATACATAATAATAAATTTCTCTGTATAGAACTGGCACTTATCCTTAGATTTATATTAAATTAACAATACAGTTATTCCCAAACACATGAACTCGACCCTTCACCTACATCTTTTGCACAAATATTTTCATTAAATTAGCGTTTACTTTATTGATTAGAAATTTATATAAAAAAGTATAACATGACGAATATTTGACAACGTTGTTGAAAGATTTCGTGTAGACCACAATATTATTGTACGACATAAAGTGCACATTCTATCAAACTTCTATGTTATAATCAAAAAAATTTTCAACCAAAACTTGTACCCTGACAGAGTGTTCAAAAATAGAAAGAATGTTTCCTAGAAATAACAGTATATTTAGTTACGGGTAAAATTGGAAAATAATCAAAAATTTCGCCGTGATCTTCTGAAGGCCCCATATATTTTAGCATCATCATCATTATTATAAGGTCGTCAGTCCTAAGACTGGTTGGACACACACCTCCAGTCTTTCCTATCCTGAGCTAATCTTGGCATTTCCCTAAAACTAGAACAACCAATATATCAAAAGAATTATTAGCGGAATGGTACGGATTATGAAATTTCATGACTATGTGTTTGCGAGACACGTTATTGAGGAGACAGATCATAAGCCTCTATTAGGGATAATTAAAAAACCTTTATATAATACTACAACAAGATTACAAAGAATTTAGTTACAATTTATCATCATCATAAGATCATCAGTCCTAAAACTGATTGGACACGCACATCCACTCTTTCCTATCATGAGCTAATCTTCGGACTTCGGACCCCAAAATTATAACAGCCCATATTCTTAACTATTTACGAATAGTAATCTAATCTGGATCTATCTCTACCCCTCCTAACTTCCGTTTCTGCCTCTTATATGTCTCTGACTAGACCTTCATGCCTGAGAAGGTGCCCTACTAACCTATCTCACCTATTTCTTATTAACTTCCATAGAGTTCTCAGTTCTCCTACTCTTTCTAATACCTCTTCATTTCTAATCTTCACTATCCACGGTATCGTCATCATTCGCCTGTAACACCACATTTCGAACGCTTCTAACCTTTTCTATTCTTTTAGCATTCGAAACAATTTTTCTTATAACTTTTTTCGATTGGGCCCCTATTTAGCTGTGCTGCCGTTTAACGAAACCATCTTTTTTCTATTTTTGATCACACTGTAATGCGAATTTTTCGATTATATTTATAGTTTGACGATAGAAACACATTGCATATTTTTGGACTACTGTTTATACAATAATAATATTTTTAAGTAAAAACTTCATCTGACACGAAAAACGCAATTAGCATTCAAACTTTATCCCTTTGGTTTTAAGTAATTGATAGTTAATTGTCTTTTAAACACTGTTGTTTGATAAATATATAAAAAATTACAGATAAAGCGTATGATCCTGAAAGCACTTCTACAAAAACACCATTAGCAATTGTCCATTCCACACAAAATTCTACTGATGAAAACGAAAATGAACCTGAAAATAACAAAACATCTGCAACTATAAATTGCTCAAATGCAAAACAAACACCTACAGAACTTTCACAATCCGATTACGCCGATTCTAATTTTAACCAGCACAATGCAAAAGACATAAAAGAAATAAGCAACGCAATTCAATACAGTCAAAATGCAGAAAATTTGGATCCTGACGAATGTAATGACCAACAACATAATGTAGACAATTCTTTTGAACATACCGACATAAAGAATTTAGAAAATGAACAATATTCAACATCCTCAGAACAACAACCATATTTAAATGCCAACCCGCAACAATCAGACATTTCCTACGATTCTATTAATACCAATACTCCAATACCAAATGGAAATCTGCAAATTCAGAAAAATTTGAACCCACAGCTTGGTATGAATGAACAATATAACTCAAGCCAGGGTTATATTGATGATTCAAAAATGCAACAACAATACGAACATCCGAGTCAACAGTATTCTCAAATATCAGACCACCAACAATATTCAGAATCTGATCAGCAGCAGTATGCCGATCAAATGAATCAGCAATACAGTAATGATTTGAAAGAACCATATTTGGAAGGAAGTCAGGAAGCATATCAAAATTTAAATCAACAATATGATGACCAAATGAATCAGCAATACGCCAACGATTTGAAAGATCAATATTTACAAGAAAATATACACGAACAATATCCAGAAGATCAAGATTTACATCAACAATATGGTACTAATTTAAATCAAGAGTACACTGATGACTCCAGTAAATATTACCAAGATGAAAATGCACATGGCGAAGATTCAACAGCGTATGAGTTTAATCACACTTATGATCAACAAATTGCACCTGAAAATGCGGGTTATGAAAAAGAATAATAATGTAATAAAACGCTGTGAACATTGTAGAATGTCATAATTTATTAATAATGTGTAAAAGTGAAAGCATTAATAATATACAAAAAAGTAGAAATCTATAACATTAAAATACACATAAATAATAATGTATATTAAATAATAATGCAGTTATAGTTGCTAAATGTTTTTGTTATTTATAAATGTTTATGAAAATATATTTATTATAATAATATTTAAGTTGAATATCATATCAAACCAAAATAAATGCAAATAAATGAAAATAACACCAATTCCGTTTTTCATCTTTCCTATTTTGACATTTACTATTTCATTTTTTTACAAAACTGTACCATTTTGTAATCTCCCATATATGACCATTCAACCATTTTGAATTTTTGGCTTCAATTTCGTATTTACTGTCCTAATTGTATACAACTATAAGAGTAGATATGCAGGGGCAAAACATTAGTATACTTAGATTCGTAGATGATATAGTAGTATTAGAATCTAGAAAGGAGGAGCTAGAGAGATAGCTTTATATAAAATGGAAGCGGTGTTAACAAAACAATACTGTATGAAAATAAATAAAAGTAAAACAAAAATACTAATATGCAATTATAGTGAAGCGGATCCATGTTTATATATTAAAGAGAATAAAGGTCGAAAGCTTTGTACGTAGATGACGGGTTGATAGCGGGATCAGCTTCACAAGATCTAAAAGACTATTGATCAACTCAAAAACGAGTTTAAAATTATTACACACCCAGCAAAATATTTTCTAGGATTAGAAATTGAAAGACAGTCTGACAAAAGTATTAAAATAAGGCAGACCACTTATTCCAAGAAAATTCTCGAAAGGTTCAAATTTTCAGGCTGCAAACCAATCTCAACAACAATGTCCAGAAACTATTTTATCAGGGAAAAATAACATAAAAACTCAAACATTTCCATACGGACAAGTGGTGGGAGCACTTATATACCTTATGCTTGATACAAGGTCAGATCTAGCCTACAGCGTCGGATTTATTTTAAGATCACTGGAAAATCGATCTTTATTTGGATGTATCCAAAGTGAAAAAAGTACTTTGCTACATAGCTGGTACAATAAATTTTGGCATAGTGTTTTCACCAAATTATAATAAGAATATACTTGAGTACTATAGTGATGCTGATTATGGAGGCTGTGTGAAAACTGGACGATCAACATCAGGAGTAGGAGTAGTGCTGTTACATAGTTTAGTAGCAGACAAGAGATTGTGGCTATTTCAATAACACAATCAGAAATTGTTGCAGCAAATGAAGCTACTAAAGAAATCATATGGATAAGTAGGTTATTTAAAGAAATTATTGATCTAAAACAAACACCGGTTCTTCAAGTCGATAACTCTGCGACAGTTAAGCTAGTTCAAAATCCAGAATTTCATAGAAGGACAAAATTCATAAGTATCAATCATTTTTTCATACGGGAAAAAATAACCGAAGGGAGTTGAGTATAAAACAAATTTCAACTGAATACCAATTTGCAGATTTAATGACAAAGCCACTGTCCAGAACACGTCTCAGAGTTTTATCAGATCAAATGGGACTGAAATAAAAATAATATTGCTCAACATTTGTTTTAAGTATTTGTTGAAACTAATTCAAGTTTTAAATAGGGAAAGTGTTAAGATTTGTGTCTTAAGCTATTTAAAAATTTGATAGTTCAAGGAACTGACTTCGGAGGGCAAAGTAGAGCTGTGCTCCTCTTTTATATATATCATTAACTTTGTGTGTTTTTTTTTCCATGATAGAGATTAAAACTTTACTAGGTATGTCATATGTACCAAGTCACTATTATTATAAATAAATACTTCTTAAACAGATGACAATATAGTTGTTACTAAATAAATAAACATTAAGTTCTTATTTATATTAGAATAGATAAGTTTATGTAGAAAGACCAGTTCTTAACAGTATTAAGATTCCAACACAGAGCATTCAACAGTATTTATGAAGAGTGTGACTTTGGTGAAGATCTACAGTTAAATACTAGAGATCAGTTCATTTGGAGGCTGAGTAGTGTCGCCATTAAGGGAAAGCTTCTGGGTGAAGCAAATCTTACATACCAGAGAGCAATTGAGTTAGCAACAGCCTTAGAATCAGCGATGTCCTTCAAATGAACTTTTTTATGTGAACGATGAAATTAAAAACTTTGGAAATAAAAATAATATAGATCCATTAACTGTCGGTTTAGTAATTAATAAAGAGAAAATTTTGAAAAGGATACTGGTTGGCCTATTACTGCTATTTCAAAAAAAAAAAATTAAAAGTAGTAGGGCAGAGTGGGGTCACTTGATCCGGATTTTATTCTTTGTTCAAATCAGCATAAGGTCCATTCAATTCAAAGAATAAATAAGAAAAGAGTTATTCTTAAATCAGTCGCTTATTTATTTGACCGCATATTAAGATCAAAAAAATTTTGGCAAATCCGTTGTTTACTATACTAAATTTACCTTATAATGAAAAAAGGCTCATTAGACCCCACAGGCTAGGCCTATTTAACCACCCAATGGGGTCACTTGAGCCAATGGGTTTTACAAATCTTTGCACTTTAAAACATATGAAACATAGGAACATAAATCAAATTTCTGAGATTCCTCAAGGAAATCAAAAAAACTTAAATAAATTTCTAATTAAAAAAAAACTGTCTCAATTAGTTTAGTTACTGTCTTTAGCCGCTTCACGGATGCTTCTATCATTGATAACTTCAACTAGAGCTCGTTTTATCAAATATTATTTATTGAATTCTTCTATTGTAAGTTCGCATTCCAAAATGAAAAGAACATTAATGTAGAAATACTCATGCGTAGTATGACTACATATAAGGGGTCACTTGAACATGGCTCATTCGACCCTGAGTATTTTGGCTCAAATGACCCCTTCCTCGAATTACATTTAATATGTTAAATAACTAAAAGTCAATTGAAAATAATTTATTTTTGGAAACTTAAGTCATTAACATTAATCATGTTAAGAACAGAGGCTTTCATGGCCGGAATCCATAGTAGAATGAAGATTCGGGCTATAGTGCCGTGGTCTAAGTGAACTATTGTGTCCAGACGTTTCGTCAGCTACTGCGGCTGACATCCTCGATGGTATAATTCGAAATATAATCTACGTTCATCGCTCTGCTTCGTCTAATGCCACCCGCTCGTAAATATCACCCTCCGTGTACGTGATATTACAGGTGGCACACTAGACCCTGCGGCTCAACAAACCCCGCTCTGCCCTACGCTAAATAATTTGAAACTTCTACCAACTAAAAGGTGTTTTAAATCGTATCAAGGAGATATTATGAAGCATTTAGGAATGTTAAGCGTAATAGTTGATTTTAAAAGTTAACAAACTAAATTACCTTTGTTTGTGTTTAATGGTAATAGTAGCCCAATTGTTGGAAGGGATTAGATATGTGCATTAGGATTACTTAAATCAAGTGCTTCTCCAGTTTCTCAAATGATTAATTATTGTAAGGATGTAGTAATGGCAAGGGTACAATTACTTAAAGAATTTGAAAATGTTTTCTCAGAAAAACTTAGTATAATAAAAAGTAAATCAAACTAGAGCTAAACGGTAATGTTAAATCTGTATTTTGCAAGCCTAGACCATTACCATATTCATTAAAAGAGAAAGTGGAGAGAGAATTAAAGAGATTAGTTGAAGAGAATCTTTTATTTCAAATAGATTTTAGTGATTGGGCAACTCATCCTGTTGTTCCTCTTCTTAAGGAAAATGTTTCAGGAGTGGTATGCTTTTATGATGATATATTAATTTCTGGTGCTACTAGAGAAATTCATGATTCGAGATTAAAACAGGTGTTACTGAAATTACAAGAGTGTGGATTAACGACTGAGAGTAAGAAATGTCAATTTTTTGTTGAAGAAATAGAATTTTTAGGATATAAATTAAGTAAAAATGGCACTGGCTTAAAAATTGATAATCCAAAGAATTTTTTGGCGTCATGACAATAGTTAGTCCATTATTTAAGTTAATTTAGAAAAATAAGTCAGGGGAATGGAAAGTTTAGCATAAGAAAGCATTTGTTGAAGCAAAGAATTACTTAATTTCGTACAATGTTTTCACTCATTATGATCCGTCCTTACCAATTAAGGTTACATGTGATGCCTCACCAAATGATATTGGAGCTGTTTCAGCTCATGTTTTAGATAAAAATAGGGTGAAACCTATAGCTTACAGAACATTGTCAAAAACTAAAAAAAATATTTTTAAATTGATTAAATTTACGGGGTTAAATATTTTCGTCAATACTTGTATGGCCGACATTTTAGACTCGAAACCGATCACAAAACGTTGATTCACATTTTTGGCTCAAAAAAGGGCATACCACATACGGCAGCCAGTAGACTTCAAAGATGATCTGTGATTTTGTTAAGTTATGACTTTGAAATCAATACTAATACTAATAATAAAAATGCTAATTATTTGTCATGATTGTATAATTAAAATAAGGGGAAATAAGAAGAGTTGTTACTTGTTACTTGTTGTAACTTAAGAATAAAATAATTCGAAGTGGTCTGTATTCTGTCGAAACTGTCAGACGCGGATCGCGATTTCGATCTTCTTGGATCTCATCAGCGCGTCGCAGGCAGCTTCGACAGAACACAGATCAACTTTTACCTGCTGCCTTAACAGCGCGTTTTAGAAAATACAACAAATGGCGCTGTAAACGCCATCTGTAGTACAGTGCTACACTTTAGGATTACGTATGCTTCAGCAACGTCTATTTAAATATATAGATATCTACTTGCTGAAACGAATCCCGGCATAGCTCACCTCAACGTGATAGGCACGTTACCATAATCGAATAAAATAATTTTATTCTAAAATGTAGCACTGTACTACAGATGGCATTTACAGCGCCATTTGTCGTTAGTTTAAGAATCTATATTGGAGAAGATCTGTGACAAGTATGCGATTATGTATAATTTGATTGGCCAAATAAAATCGAAGAGAATTTAAAAGTATTTAAAAATCGATGAGTCTGAATTAGCTATTGAATATGACTGTCTTATGTGGGGAATCGTTATTCCAAAGAGTATGCGTAATTTAATTTCAAAGAGTTACATGACATTCATGTGGGTGTAGTTAAAATAAAAACTACGGCGAGATCATACTTTTGGTGGCCAAGATTAGATAAAGATATTGAGAGTCTAGTCAAGCCATGTAAGCTCTGTTTACAAAATTTAGATAATGTTCCTGGAGCTAAGCTTCATGCTTGGGATTGACCACAAGATATTAATCATATACTTTATTAGAATATAGGGAGGAGGCACTTGTAAAGAATAGTAACACTTGACTAACACTAAACAACAAAATTGCATTTATTAATAACGATTACTCCTGCAATGTAACAAGCGACCATAGAAGTCCTACGCTGCCTCTCTCTTTCATACCTCGTTTCGCGACATGCGCACTACGCCAGACGCTCACACACATACTCATTAGCTACCGTGTTACAACTACATAGGTAGGCACAACAGCACTCCAGTTCTTCTGAGCTGATTTGAATGTCTGCGCCAATCTTGACCACAATCGGTGCGCACTCTATAGTGTAGTTTTTCAGTCCCCTTTTCAACCGTACCGAATTTCCATTTACTTTCCTCACTCACGAGCTATCACTCTCTCCCGCTCTTTAAAAGTTCTTCCATCCTTGTCGATATTGCAGTCCTTCCTTTCAGGTACACGTGTTTGTTTTAGCAGATCCAATTTTCCCTTTATCTTTTGATTGAAAACCATTTACGCTGGGGAGAGGCTTGTTTGAGTCTGCGGCATATTCCTATACTGGGTCAGGATCTCTTGCTATTCATATTGGATGTTAGACTTCGCTGGGATTTTTGCCAGGGCTTTCTTGATTGTCTGGACGAACCTCTCTGCCTGGCCATTGGTAGCTGGGTATTAGGGTGCCGACAATCGATGGTAAACACCATGTGCGGACAGAAATTTTTCAAAGCTAGATGAAACGAAGGTTCGCGCATTATCCGAGACCAATATACGGGATAATCCATAAACCGAAAAGATGTTTTTACAGACCAAAATCGTGGTCTCCACAGGCATATCCTTCACTATGTGAACTTCTGGCCATTTTGAGTATGCATCAATTAGCAAAAAGAAAGTATGGCCATGCATGGTCAATATGGACTCTCTCAAAAGGGGCCACTGCTGGTTCCCGTATGTGAGGTTCAACTTTACTTGGATTTGGTAATTGTGATTGAGAATTATTGCAACTACAAACTAGATTTTCAATATCCTTGTTAATTCCGTACCACCAGCAGTAACTCCTAGCTAGTCCCTTCATCTTAGCTACTCCAAAGTGCCCAAAATGTAACTCACTCAGTATTCTTTTACGCAACGACTTTTGTAATAACGCAATGATTTCACACTAATATTCCGCTTTCTATCGCAAACTCACGTACATCAATACTCCAGGTATCTTTCTTATCTACTTTACTGTCTAACTTTAACATTTTATACAGCTTTTTCAACTCACTATCTTTCTTAGTTTCTTCTAAAATTTTAGTCGCACTTACAGGTAAGTTACTCAATACATCACAATAAAATATATCTATAACATCAACATTTGACTTAGGTTCTCCCATAGAGAGTCTTAACAAGCAATCAGCATTACCATTGTATTCTGACTTGCGAAATTCTATGGTGTATCTACATATTTTAAGAAAAATTGCATAATGCTGCATTCGTAATGCACTATACACTGGTAATTGTTTATTTCAATCAAAAATATGCGTTAATACTCTATTATCAGTAATGAGAATGAATTAATAATTAGATGAATAATAAAGTTTACCATATGCTGTCAACTTAAGTTGACACACTGTATACTTCGAACTATCGAAATTAAAATCATACTGGCTTAATATTGTGTTAAAAATATTGTACATATTAAATACGGGTGATTTGTACATTTACATTAGATCGCGCAATAGAACAATAGTATATATGCGATAGTCGCTGTTTGGGCCTTGGAATAAAAAAGTTGATTTTATTTAAAACCATAGTACAATCAATTTTGTTACTTAATATATATCCTATATAACATAGGAATGAGATCGCAATAGATTTTCTTCGATAAGGATTGAATGTCAAAAACATGAATTAATATTTTGTTATCAATTCCTGTTGGGGGATAGACGCCATAACACTGTAAATGTAGAAAATTTCGCTGAATTGACTCAAATAAGTGGTTAGAATATTGACAAATAATAATAAACTTCGATTCTGTTATTCGACTTTAACTTTATAAAATAATAAACATAACAAAGAAATTTTATAAAATTCCACTTAAAAATTGTACTAGATTCTTTCCTACTGTGGTCTTAAAAATGAAAATTTTATTGCTCCACTTTCTCACAAAATTGTATCATTCCGTAATCTCCCTTGTATGACCATTGTGCATTTTTAGCTTCAAGTTCCTCCACTAACCCATCTCGTAGTCCACAAACAATATCGCATTTAACGGTCCTTAAAGTACATAACTTTGATGGGTGAAAACCTTGAAGAGCCTTTTCTATGGGCGTTATTGGATCCCAGTTACGTTCCCCGAACAACTTTCTGTAGTTCAAATCACCCTTAAAGATTATTAACTTGGCTTCTGCTAACTTTCTATACAATTTATTATCTAAACACTTCATGTAACTATAATCCAAAGGGTATGTCCAAAAATCTTCTACTTCCACCGTCCACGAGCCATCTTTGAAATGTTTATCCCATTGTTGTCCAAACAGCGACACATATTTGTTACTGTGTTTTCTAAGCTGCTTTATTTGCCAATTTACGTCGCGTGTCATGGCATCAGATATAAACCATGGCATATTTTTAACATAAAACCGGACTTTACTTGCTAGATTATTCTTTAATAAATAATCAGCTAAACAAAAATCAAAATATAATTCGTATGCAGCATTATCCAGAACGATATCTAAAACAAAAGAAATCAGATAATTAATAAAAGAGTCTATATTGAAAATAATGGACACAACACTTATTAAAAATAATTTGTATCCTCGGAGCAAGCTTAGCTATATTTTTACTTTCTTAAAGCCTGTGTAACGAATTTTCTAGTAAATGTTATAAAAATACACTGTCTGATCTCCTGGAAAAAAGAAGTTATATGAAAAAGAAAAGAATGTGCCATATCGCACCACCCAGTAATATACATAAACATGAGAGTAATGACCCTATCGAAAGCAGCAACTGACCCAGCAATGATGACCAGGATTAGTTAGTGTAATTATGAACAGAGACAAGGAAGGAATGAACTGCCAATTACTTTATATATATTTCGGTAATAGGGAATTCTCCCTTAAAATCTTCCACATCGTATCACACGGGTTTGCAGTGCAATTACTCGGATACTTAAACCGGAATTGTCTTCCATTAATCGCAAAACGATTTCATAAGTACCAACCTGTCGTCTTTACTAACCTTCACCTCTTCGGTGCGATACCACACTATCTGTATAATACCATCAGTGCATTCTCAGTGCTGTCACCACCATGTCCGTGTATTCTACGTATGAATGCTTCGTTTTTTGCTTGATAATTTCAAAATGAAGTTATTTCTGCATTTTGTGGTAACTGCAGTAACTTTGCCAATCAAACGGTAATTACGGAGTCATCACATGCCTGCATGCGTTACAACTGCTGCGAAGGTCACGAGTAGATATGTGTGTTTCATTACAACGCTGACAATAACAAAGGGCTATAATATAATGCAGGCGCCAACAAGACGAGTGTTCTTAATCATTGACGGCTCTTTACTTTATCTGCATAATTTTTGCACCCTCTACGTTGTTGTGCTATCACAAGGTAGACTCCAAAGTGCCTCCAGATGTTTTCTTTCAAATATTCCGGAATACTGATCAGTCGTAGTGTATACATATATAATGATAATAAATTATCAAGTATGTATATTAAATATTATTTAAACTTTCTACAAGCATTACATGCAATACATTCTGTAGGATTGTTTATGCAAACTGAATAAGTTTGTGCTAATATTTTCGGACCAGATTTGATAACCACAGGCGCGTTTCTTTTGACATGCTCGGGAAAGAACACACTTCACGTTCCAGGATGCGCTGACCCTGTTACATGGAACGTACATCGGAATTGTCGCTCCACGCACCTCGTAAGAGGACCTTTATATTTATCACTGAATTTATATCACTTTGTATTCGCTCGTAATTCGCAGTATATTTCAAGATCGAGCATACATAATTCTGATTCTAGCATCAATGGGTCACTTACACTTTACATATCCTCTTTTTTACAGTATCCTCGTTTCATCTAATAATTCTACTTTGTCATCGTGCCTAAATCGTTTATTTTAAACACATCGGTGTGTAATTTGTGGAAGAAATTTATACGACCTTGAAGCGCTCAATTACCACCTAAATCTGCTGTTTATACAACCGATCTTTCAACATTATTGAATCTTGAATATATACTTCATTTTATAAGCACCTAATTTATAACCTTGGCACTAAAATTAGATCCTAAAAAGCCCCTATTAATAATAATTCATTTTCAGGACTTTGTGGATCTGGAGTGATACTGTCAATTTCTTTATGGATTAATTGCCCCAACTGATGACCCTGGCGCTTTCCAATTATTTTATTAAAACCATGTCTCTGTATCGAAGAAAAGTAACCGTATATAAGCATTTTAGAAAAAAGAGCCAGATTCTTAGTTTGGGAGAGTTCAGTCTTTGATTCTTCTCCTTAGGGTTTCTGAGGACCAATAACGGCAGTCTTGCTTATTTACAAAAAAATGAACGTGTGCCTCGTCACAGAAAAGAATATAGTCGAAAGTTTCAAAAGTATTAAGTAATGTATATTTTACTTACACCTACACCTAACATTATAGTACTTACTAAGGCTAGACTCCCTTATTCAATATTAAATAGTGAACTTCAACTCCGCAACTTCACTATATACAGGATTGCCCACCTAAGACCCTTTCCTCCGTAGGGATATTATTAGTTTTAGGTAAAAATGTTTCGTAAAAGAATTATCTCAATTTTTATTGTGTATAACCCAAAATTATCCCTAAATCTGCAGGATATCCTGTTTTCGCTGGCAACTAATCTATCTACAACGTCTTTTCAGTAGACATGAGAGAAGAATGTTTTTCGTGCGGCCAGCCAGGCCATAGACAAGCAGAATATCACAAGGGTTCACTTATGGGTATAATTAAAATCGAGGTCGTAATCCGTATAGAAGCCACTACAGACGTCAATATAGAGGAGGACTAAGAGGACAACAGAATAACAGACGAGGAAATAGAACAGACCCAATACCATCACCACCAAGCTTCCAAAGTCAACTTAACACACAAGGGAATGCATTCATAACGGAAGTAAATACATCACGGGTAAATGTAGATAGAAATAAAAGTAAAAATGCAGTAACATGGATCCTGACCACGTTATAAACGATGATTCAGTTTTCGAAGAATTGGCATTACTAAAAAATCCAACTTACGTTAAATTAGGAAACAGGCGTGTAACAGGCCTGACGCTGGAAGCTGGCGGAAATTTTAAAATAGCGTGGATGCGCGGTGGCAAAAGTCCTATTAGAGGCGTACATTAAATATTTAAAAGCAGGAGTCAGTGAGCAAGTAATAGACATACAAACAGAAGAACTAATTGTTGATATTGGTGACAGTGATAGCGATTCCCATGATGACAGTGAATGTGAAAACTAACTATAAAACAAAAGCATTAGGTTTGTTTTTTCTTTTTGGTAAGTTATGTTTCTATAATATTTCCTAGTACGCTACTGTACTATCTGTACTAATATTATAGTTTACGCCTACTAAAAGCTTATTTATTTATCGGTTCCTAGTGATTTACCCAAATAGGTCATAAATGGGAAAGTACCTACGCGACCGCTCGCCAGCTTCCTTCGTCTGACCTGTATTAAAAGTCACAAAAATTGGTAGAATAACAGCGAAATCATCCTACATAAAGCATTCTATGTTAAGGACATGAAACAACATTTAATAAGTTTTACTGAAAAGTCATAAATAAAAAGAAACAAAAAAAGAAAACAAGATAATTTTGTTTAGAAGTAGTGCAAAAATTTACAATTCTAACCAAGAATTAATCGCAAGAATTTATACATAATGAAAAGTCTTACAGCAATTGCTCACAATAAAGAAATAAAAATAAACATAAAAACACAATACAATAACATAACATTAAAAGAACAATGGCATAGAACTCTCGATCACGTAAACTTGCTTATATTTATAAAAATTATGTCAAGGCGAACTTTTATATGCTTACCAAAAGAATTAAAACTCGAATTCATAAAATGCGCAATACGCATCGAAAGCAAAAAAACTAGCCACACAGCACAGTAGGCAATCACGGAGAAAAATACTTCTTAACGTTTATCGACGACTTCAGTAAACTTGGGACAGTATACCTACTGTATTAAATCTAAATCAGAGGCTTACAACTGCTTTGTCGACTATGTGAATTTGGTCGAAAACCTGGCGGGCAGAAAAATCAGAAATCTAATATGCAATAACGGTGAAGAATATCTAAAAAATAATGCGTTCAATTTTATCAGGGATACGGAAATAAATTTAACTTCGTGTCTACCCTATGTACACAAATCAAACGGAGTAGTGGAACACTATAACAGGTCAATCATGGACAAGGCTAGATGTCTACTAAAAGAAGTAACGGTAAATCGTATATTCTGGACTAAAGTCATAAAAGTAACAGCAGTAACAGGAAGCAAAATCACCACATGAAATATTCTTCAACATCAAACCAAACGTCAAACATCTAAAAATCTACGAAAGCAGAATCTCCGTAAGAACACCAAAACAACCAAGAAAATCGAAACAGGGCAACAATGAAAAACTGGTTGTCTTACCACGCTACAACGACAACAGCTAATAATAAAATCATAAACACGAGGCATGTCGATGTAAAAGAAAACCGAACCAAATTGATAGATTTGAGCGAAGACAGCGATGAAATGGAGAACAACAAACTTGATAAATAGGAATAGTACGAATTCTGATGTAGAAAAAGGTAGCAGCATTACGGAAAGTAAGAAAGGAAACGCAATATCCCCACCAAAATTCGAACTTAACACCAGAAAATCAGCAAGAAATAAAAAAATAATCTCAGCGAAAAGTTTCAAGCAAACTATTGCGACCTTAACGTCTTTGACGGAGCGGCAATCCCAGAGTCAGAAAAATGAAAAAAATTAAACAAAACATAGAAATTAATAGATCTATTGTCTATTGAAAGAAGACGTGAAGTGGACCTACAAAACGAAAAATTAACATTTATATAAAGCAAGACTTGTAGTAAAAGGATCTCAACAAAAGAAAAAATTAGATAACATCTATTTCACAGCCGAAAGTGCTGTCTGTTAAATTTTTTAGAGACTACCCCAAAATTGTGGGTTCAAAGAACTTCAGAGATCCAAAAAACTTCGCAACCAGGGAGCATTTGACCCTGACGACTTACTGTCATAATGTAAGGGATTAACGAACAAAATTATCAACTTTAAAGAACATGGCAACTTGTGCTCATTCACCGGACATTATTATTCTAACTGAAATATGGTTATCTTCAGATTTCAATATTGCTGAAACTACTGTCAGGGGTTACAATTAATGATCGCAGTTGAGGAAAAATTCATCAGTTCTCCTTTCACCACATCACAAAATAGAGCGGAATAACTTTTTATTAATATAAAAGCATACTCACTAAAAATTATTAATAGAGCAGTTTACTTTACTCAATTTTGCGACAGTGAGAAATACCTTAGCCATATTAAGTTAACCGAAGATCGAAATTCATCTTACAGAATTATGCTATATGGGGATTACAATTTACCTGATAACAAGCAGAATAATGAACCACTGAACATTTACGCGGATATATCTGTTCCAACGAACATCGCTGAGAAAGCCAGAGTAATCAATAATGCATTTAATATTCTAAATCTACATCATTTCATTCTGTAATTAATGAAAATGATGTGACTAAAGTCAAGTCCTCGCTGGGAATCGAACCAAGGTCCCTAGTTTTACGCACCATTGCTCTGCCACTAAGCTACGAGGAATGACAAGAGTATTTTTTTCTCATTAATTTGAAGTTGTCTGTAGTAGTAAAAATGAATTCAAACATTAGTTCATTTTAATGCATTGAAAACCTTATAAAAATTCTTTTAAAATTCTCATTGTTAATAACAATTATAGATTGATTCGACGACTCTGTAACCTAAGTCGTTAGGCAAGATCGTCATTGTTGTTACTATCACCTCTCGTAGCTTTGTGGTTGAGTAATGATGCGGAGAGCCAGGGACCCAGGTTCGATTTCCGGCGAGCGCATGATAGCAGTAACAACTTTTTCTTATTAATTTAAGGTTGTTTACAATAGTAAAAGTTAAATCAAAAATTAATTTACTTTAATACATTTTAAGAACTCGTTTAATTTTGGAATTAGAGGGAACGCTCCAAAATTTATAGAATCGTATTTGATTGAATAAAACTCTGTGGTCAAACTAAAAAACAATCGCTCGTTACCGTTTAATATGCTCTATGGAATTCCTCAGGGCTCCCACCTAGGTCCTTTGCTGTGGGAGCCTTTACTCTTATTGTTTATCAATGACGTGGTTCAGAACATTGAAAGCTTCAAAATAATATACAAAAGGATTGACTCAGAGCACGGAGCCGGAGAGCTACAAGAGGACCTATCTAACGACCTTATATAAAACATTAGCAAATCTAACGTCGTCTTTTTGAAAAATGCGCTATAGAATTTTGTATAGTTACTTATTGTTTGAACATTAAACTAGCTAGATCATTGGAGGTAAAAAATAGGAGTAATTTTTGATTGCACACTTAAATTTAATATTCATATGGAATTTATATGTTTCAAAGCATATAGAATGACAGGTTTCATCTATAGAAATACGACTGACTTTAAAGTCTAGAACTCTTTTTTTAACTATAAAAAACTTTGGTATTGCCAATACTTATGCTACAGTGGTCTCCTTAAACTAAAAGCAACATTGACAAAACTAAATCGGTCCACCATAAATTTTTAAGATTATTACCATTCAGAGCAGTATGTCTGATATATACGTTTGAGCACGATATGATATTGCAATTAAATTTAAAATTCCACCTGTATTCAGTTTGCGTCTCTAAGAATTTCTGCATTCAAGCTGATCGCTGATTATATGCAACTGAAATGTTAATTCATTAAATGAAAGATTCCATATCAACTCACAATCAGACGCAATCGTCAGTTAATAGAGAGCACATACAAAGGAAAAAAATTCATTCCACTTAGTTACTCCTAGGCTACTGAGCCTTTGAAATTCCGTTTCATTAAAAATCACCAATGCCCCTACACTATCAAATTTAAAAAGTATTATAAAAAGTGAGATATTCGTTCTGTTGGCTGAACTAAGTACATATATTAAGTTTAATTATGTCTGAATAACTACTTTAGACTACCAAATACGAGATGTATATGAGTTTATATTTACTATATGTTAGTTCCTGATGAGCAATTGCTATACAATTGTTACAGTTTATGATTTGTAACCAACTCTGTAATGATTAGATTAAGAATTTTATTGTTTAATTGCATATAGTACTTCTTGTTAAATTGGGCTCTGCCTGTTCCTTCATTTCTAAATAAATGAATAAATATTTACCAACTATTTGTGATGTAGCAGCTGGATCTGATATTGCTGACCAAATATCTTCACTGTGGTCTGATATAATGTAAGACTCTAGATTTTCTAAATTACTCATTGGATCTCCTGTAACATGATTGACAACTCCGTTTGTAATAGACAGATCTTGTCTGTTTCCCCACAAATTTAGCTAGAAATGAATAAAATTATTTAATAATTTTTGTAAAAATTAATACACTGATAGTTTATCTTGAAAATAGCAATACATTTTAATAAAATATAAAATTACAATACAAATACCTTTAAAAGATGAATAAACATATCTTTCACAGGATACAACGCTTTTTCATTTAGTAGCATGTCAGATAATGATTTACACATAAAAATAATTGAATCAATAGAATCTATTAAAGCCAGTTCTTTTTGATATCTAAACAGGTCAAAATCCTTTAGAGTATTCCTAAAAATTGATGAACCAAAAGACCAATAAAATAAGTGTTGATATACATTTCAAAATCAAAAAAATATTAGATATTAGTTAATAGGTACATGAGTGATTTTAATTAAGTAACAAAAACTTACGTCTTCTCAAAAATGTCATACAACTTTCTGTAAATGTAACATTCAGCTAATAGCCATACGCAATTAAAATATGTGGGCCATCCATCATCAGTAGCTTGTTTTGCTAAATAGTCATTATAAATTTTAATATCTGGTGCAGAAGAAACTATTTCTTGCAAGGGTTTATTAGTTTGGACTTCATACTTTATTTTCGATATTTCACCAATTACAATTTTAAGCTCCTCCCCTGCTCCCTATGCAATAAAAGTGAAAAATATATTGCGAAATTCATTCATACTAAAAAGAAATTTACATACCTGTCCATACTCACTAATAATTTTGTCTTTATTTCTTACTAAATTATCAATCAACTGAGTTAATATAACAGGGATCCTTTCTTTCATAGTATAATAAGCAAAACTCCTTAAATATAAAATAAAAGTGTATTTTTTAATTTTATAATTTATATTTGGCTTACTCACCTTTTATAGAAAGCATTGTAGTGAACATTTCGAGGTGTTACTAAATCCATCTTATAATATGTAATGTTGCTCTTTTATTTATTCTAAAACTATATGATATACAGTTTACATGATCTCCAATAACTAGTTCCAGAAAAATTCAACTGTAATTTAACCTTATTTAAAAGTTATCACAAATGCAAGATGTTATCTAAATACACATATTACCTAATAAAAATTTCCATTTTCTCTTTAAATTTATAAAACAGTAAGCTGGGGCAATATCAGCTAAATGTGATAAATGCCAAAATGCGTATATTATATTTAAAAACATCATTGTTTTGACAGTATTAAACAAATTTTTATAGAAGTTCTGCTTGGTTGAAATGGAAAAATTCTTTTGCTGATTGTTAAACATGCAATATCATTGTGGGTGTATAGTGTTCTTTGCCTTCGTAATAGTGAACGGCTTGTAATTATTATGAATTAAACTTGTTTCCATCGGGCATTTAAATATATTTTAATGCAAAAAACATTTGATAATTTTAGTATCACTTCCTAGGTCACGTCTAATAAAAGATAAAATTTGTTAATACGCAACAAATTGTATGCGGTAATCATCACAGAAAATCGAGCAAAATATATTTAAGGAAATTATAAATATAAATAACAGTATCATGACTGTATCGAAAAATAATGCATTGCAATGCAGTAATTTCGATTACCTAACGCCTTAACCTATAAATAACAAAAATTTTACACCACTTCTTAAGCATTAATGACGAATAGATTATAAATAGTTAATTAATATAACCGACATCCTAAGAATTTCATACCTTCCTATTTTTTATAATCATCACACTTATGATTAAACAGTGGTAGATCTGTCGCAGGTGACGTATACTGCATCGTACCCCTGCTCATGACACCAGTTAGTTATTTCTTGTAAAATTTGTAAAATTATGCGTTAATTGTGAGTCTAAAAAACTACAGTGAATCAGTACAATTTAGCAGCAACGCGTGTACTTTTAAATTGCCTGGTATATTTTTATACAATTTTATTTTACTTTTCGTATAAGGATTTCAAAGATCTAAGATCCGCAGCTACATTTACAACTTAAAATGTAAATAATCATTACACAATCAATAAATTAATCGTATTATTAATGTTATTTATATTACATATCATTTAGATCTAGACATAGGATCAATAATTATACTGCACAATGAAGTTTTCGAGAATGAAAACTCACTGCGGTGCTGCAGCCTGTGTCTACCGAATATTCTTACATTATTCCCGCACTACGAAGGGAATGTACATATATGTGTGTAGCTCCTGGTAGCTCCTCGGCAATCCAAGGAACCGTATTGTTTGGGAGAGGAAAGTCAGATAACTCAAGATAGATATTTGTGCTTATCTTTATTACTTAACGTAACGAACACGATACATAAACGGCTTAACTACACAGGGAGACATATTAGTAGGTACCAGGTATAGAGGGTAGAGGTAAGGAAAACCATCTCATGAAGGAAAACTTGAAAAAGTCTCCAGCTATAAGCAGTAAATAACAGTTAAAAAACTCTCCAAAATGGCGCTAGCGTAGCCAAAATGTATGCTTTGAATGTAACAATTGTTGACGAATTAAAGTATGCCGAGTTAGAAAACTTAATATTTTTAGTGGCTAAAGTGGTTAGTAACAGTCCAGGATATCAAACCTCAACTATTTACGTAAATTAATTTAGTCCTTATTTTTCTATCCTATTCTAATATCTTTTGGCGCTTTATTTGAAATATACCCTGTTGCTACTGTGGCGTCACCCTAATTTAACGCAGTTTGTTGGACACTTTTTGACAACAGAGATAATACTCCTTATCTCTACCCAACATTGTACCCATTGTACCAGGCTGTACGTATCTCTGGACTCGGGTACAATTTGTCACGGCACCATAGATAGCTGTTATGAGTCGTGGCTGTTACCATCGACGTCTACTACTGGACGTGCCTTAGCGGTCAGAATTGTGGTACACCGAAAGAAAGAGATGGAACGAAGTTTCGGACAATATCCATCTCTCTCACGATAGTGCGTAAGCTGTCATGAAAGAGATAGCATTAGTCCGAAACCATACGCCATCTCCCTCACTTTTGAGCCAAGAAATTATTACAATGACATACGGCTAAGACACGTCCATACTTTACGTCGATGTCTGTTACTATAGACATTATATTAATGGACGTACCTTAGCCGTATGTCGTAATAATTTCTTGGCTCGAAAAGTGAGGGAGATGGCGTTTGGTTTCGGACTAGTGCTATCTCTTTCATGACACGCTTACGCACTATAGTGAGAGAGATGGATATTGTCCGAAACTTCGTTCCATCTTTTTCTTTTGTTGTACCACAATTCTGACCGCTGAAGCATGTCCATTAGTAAACGTCGATGGCTGTTACCATTTTTTTTTCAGCAGGATAACGACCCTAAGCATACTTCTCATATTGTGAAGGAATTAATATTTATGGGAATTATTAGAACGGCGAATTAGCAAACATCAGATAACGTCAAAAAATATTCTAAAAACCAAGATATGCCGAACCGATTTTCTTCTTTGCTCTCCTCCCGTTTCATCATGAGACCGTAGTTTAGACGTCTTATTTGCTGCCGAAGTCTCACTCCGGTAAAATCCTACAGCCAACCGCTATTGGCGACAAAAGTTTGTCGATCTCGTCATCACTCTACCAGACCCGCAGCCTAATCACGATAACAACGCCAAAGCTAATGAAAATGCCGATGTTCCAAACTGTCGGCTATCCAACTTCTAGAATTCTAATCCGCAGCTATGACTCATGAAAATTGAGGCGGCCTGTATCGTCAACCAAATTCGCTCCGACAACAGCAAATACAATGTAGTAGCAACCGTGGACTCCGACATCATCCACGAAGTCGCGGACGTCCTGCTGAACCCGCCGCAAGTCGATAAATACCAGCATCTTAAAGAGGCTATCCATTCTCGCCTCACAGACTCATCTGACCGCAAACTGCACCGACTTCTAACCGAGGTCGAACTCGGGGATAGAAAGCCCTCTCAGCTCCTCCGCCACATGAAGTCTCTTTCCGGCACGACCATCAGTGACGATGTCCTAAAAGTAAAATGGTTCGACTTGTTACCTCCAAACGTGAGCAAGCAGCTGAGGATATCTAAAGCTACCTACGGACCTGAACGTACTGGTGACCCTAGGAGACAAGCTAATGATGGTGACCCCCACGTCGCGGCAGCCAGCCTTCCTGGAACAAATATGTATCTACAAGTAACAAGTAACAACAACCGCCGTCGCAGCCGCTGGTCAATGGAAACTGCAGTAGCTGTTATCATCCTCAGTCGTCAAGTTCTACCAGGCCCAGTTGAACGGGAAGGTGGAGCGCTCATATCGCACCGGACCAGCTTCCCCTCGCCCTACTCGGCCTCTGCACAGCTTACAAAGGAGACATACAAGCATCTCCTTCTCAAATGCTTTGCGGCACGTCGCTTAGGGTGCTCGGGAACTTCTTTTCAACCACGAGCCACCCAGAGGCCTGCCGGTCATCATTTACGGAGGATCTCTGCCGTATCATTCAAAGCCTCAAGGCAGTTCCGGCGTCCAGGCATACCCCCGAAAAGGTGCCCTTCTTCTTCTTCAGGGGCCTAAGGACATGCTCACATGTCTTTAGGAAGATAGATTACATCCGAAAACCCCTCCAGCTTCCCTATACCGATCGGCATCGCATTTTTCATCGTGCCGATGACCCCTGCAGCTGCGGCCTCTTCTCCACTCCCGTCTTCGGCTCCTTCGGTGGCAACTCCGCTGCCCACGAAGCTTATTTCACCAGACTGTTTTTGTATCAATAAATAGTGTTAACCTTTCGGGTGGTGCCGTTCTTTTGTGTATGCCTCAGATCCTAGCCCTCCGGTTTCCCGTGGCTTTCAAAGGCCTGTCGTAATGTATATACATTTAATTTTCTTTTGTTTCGACTTTTCTAAAGAAAAAGCAACGGAATATATTATCATATTATAGTATTATCATATTATTAATCGAAAATTTAATAATTAATTCTTAAATACGACTTAAACGTAATTTTTATTAAGAATATTAACATTCGATAATAATAGCGAAAATTCTTACGAAGGAAATCTTGTTCCTAGTCGTTCTGTTTCTAGTAATTATAATTTAAGTTCAATTATTATTAAGATNATTTAAGTTCAAATATTATTAATAATCACCCAGAAATGACCCATAATGCCAATTTTAGTGAAATAAGTTTAGCTAAGGAAATTAATTCACAATATGACAGTGGAAGCAAAAATATTTCTTATTATATTAAAAAATGTGAAAAAATTATAAATACCGTCAAATGGGGCGAAATCGATCAGGTGAGGTAATTTCGATCAACGGTGCATTATAATTTGTATTCGTGTATTGCTGTATATTGAGAAATAGTAAAACTTTCGCATTACCGGGTCTATGAAGCTTCCCATGCATTGAAAAGTTACCGAAGTCAGTTGTCATTTCTCTTGTGAATGTGCGCAGTTTTTCAAATCTGTAAACAAACTATTGGCGAAAGCAAGAAGTTGATTTTACCAAAGGGTTCAAACATTTTAAGTGCGTGGTTTGTTGGCACTTAAAAGTTGTATACATTGTTGAAGGACTTCATTGTGAAGTAAGTTATTTTTAGTTGTTTGCAAATTCGCATGTGATAGGGGTGATTTCGATCAGGTTGTAATAATGCCGGGTGTGTACAAGAAGGTGCTGGGCTTTTCTGTAAAGAATTACAGCGAATAGTACCTTCAGAAGGCTATCAAGGCCGTTTCGACTAATCAGTTGTCTATCAGAAAGGCAACAGAACAGTATGCCTATACAACTTTAAATGATCGGGTAAAAAGAAGGCATCCAAAATCTTATCGTGGCCAACCAGTTTTAAGGCACGTAGACGAAACTGTTCTAGTAGAAGGCCTAACAAAATGTGCTGAATGGGGATTTCCTCTAAAGAGGAAGATATCAGAAACCTAGTACAAAATTATCTCAACCGAAGCGGTCGTACTGAAAGATTTCGAGATAATAAGCCGGGAAAGGACTGGTTTTTAAAATTTATTAAGATTTGCAGCATGTGGAAATTTGAAAGTTGAGATAAATAAATTAGAAGTAAATTTAGTAGGCATTAGTGAAGTCCGTTGGCCAGAAGCTGGAGACTTCTGGAGTGGAGACTTTAGAATAATACACAGAGGATCGGTGAAAGATAATTCGGGGGTAGGAATTGTAGAAAGTTATTTACAAAAAAGCGATAGGATAGTTATGGTTAAATTAAACTCGATACAGGTAAAAACGGTATTAGTGCAGGTCTACATTCCTACATCATCTTACAATGATGAAGTCGTAAAAACGGATTATGCAGATATAGAATACGTGTTAAGATTAGTGGAAGGGCAGGAAAACATAATAGTTGTAGGAGATCTCAACGCAGTACTAAGTGAAGGTAAAGACAATGGAATAGCAGGTTCTTTTGGATTAGGCAATAGAAACCACGTTAGGAGGCGCTATACGTGGAAGATGTCAGGTGATTTAGTAGTAACCATACCTAAAGAGGCGCGGAAAACTGCGAGACATTTAGAACAACTAGCTTAACTTCCTTTGCGTCAAAAATCTTAACTAGAATTGTACAGAGGAGGACAGAAAAAAGGGTGGAAGAACTATTTGGGGAAGATCAATTTGGGTTTAGAAGTTTAGAAGAAATAAAGGAACGAGGGAGGCCATTCTAGCTTTA